CCCTCTCTCTTCTCTCTCTCTATAAAGAACCGTCAAGTTTTAGTGCGCATTGCTAATTAGTCAATTTCTCTCTGCCTTCACAGGCTGGCGACTTCGCTGCTGAGCTGAAACTGCTAATTTCTGTGACCAGCTTTTTTCTTAGCTGTGATCTGGATGAATGAGTAGCTGTCTCACAGAGATGACAAAAATAAACTCTAATCCCCCCAAAATTTCCACTACATCTTTCTCATGCATAGATTTATGATCTTCAAGCGCTCTGTGCAATATGCAAACTTTTTTTGTGTATCTGTATATAAGCTGTTTCCAGATTTCACTACATTGATATGCTGCTCTTCCCCCCCCCACCCCCCCATGAAATGCAGAAACCCGCTGACTCAAAGTATGCCAAGATGCCACTTTACAGTGTCTTGGTATTTGGGGTGTGAGTCTGAAGACACTAGCCCTTTCCTAAGAGGAGATGGGGGATGGGGGGAGCAGAACTGGTAGACAGAATAGAGGACAGCCCTTTGCTTTACATTTGTTTCCCTGCACTATTCAAGCTTTATTATCTTGTTGGAGAACATATTTTCTCTATCATTTGTGTGGTTAAGCAACCATCTCTGAACTCTGTCAGTTCAACAGATAAGGGTTCAGAAGTCACATTGTTTTTATTGGAAGATTATCATATTGTCAGATTTGTCTTTCAATTAGGAGTCTGATTTGCAGGAGCTAGAATCAAGTGCTAGGAAACTCAGTTGCAATTTCACAAAGGTAACCTTTCACCTTTGGAGCTCATCTGATAAATAAGGATAACCACATAGAGCTCACATTTTTGACCCTGCTTAGCATGCAAAACCCCAGCAGGATTCTAGAATTTTAGCTGTACTAGAGATTCATGTGCATTTTGGTAGAGGACATGTTCCCTAGACCTATCTCATGATGTATTGCACGCTTACATTTATAGCCCTGCATTTTGGTTGTCAATGGGGATTGGAGGTGTCCAAGAAAGAAAGAAAGAAAAAAGAAGCAGAAATAGGAAGGTATGCCCTTGAACAAAATGAACATGAAAGAAAGCTGGACATGAGTTAAATGGAGTTTCATGTGCTATTAAATATATGAACATGATTCATTCTAATTTATATGAGCTCTGATTAGTAAACTTATTGAAATACACATCAGGGCACTACTGAAAGGCTATCTTTTTACCTTCCCCTTTGATTTGTGAGAGATGGAAAGACACCTGCTAAGGGAGGGGAAAAACTGAAATTCTTTGGTTCAGAAATAGGGAATTCCCCATTTAGGATGGTAAACATTAACATGCATATAGGATATTTCCTGTTAAATAAATGAAGAAGGATCCATCTGAAGCATTTATCCCTTACAAAGGCCCTTCTCTGTCGAGGTCCTAGATGATCTGAGACTAAGCTTTCTTTATTCAGATCTTGCTGAGATGCTACATTCTCATATACATATTCATATTAGAAAGGCCCAAATACATGGTAAAAATTTTTTTAAAAAGGGGATTTTTTGTTGTTGTTGTTGTTTAGAGCAGGAGATTATCCAAATCTTTGGGCACTACTATTTGTTTTGATTTTGTTTTTGTTTTTGAATTTCCCTTATTTAGGTATTGAATAGGAAGACAGTGTGACTATAATATAGCACCTTTTGGGGGATCTGTTTCATTAGCAATTAAAGCTATCAAGTATGTGGAGTGTCACCAATTCTCACACATGCAAAGTACAATTTGTATTGTACAATTTGCTGTGGATCTCTTATGAGCTCCCAATGAAGTATTTGGAACTAAATCCAAAAGTGAATAAGAGTATTGATTACTTAAATTATTGCCATCTTTCCAATCTATAATAAAGAAATTTAGGTATCTTTTGTAGACTTCAAAATATGTTTTGAATTTCTTTTTTTTCTGATAGGATATATTGATCACTAATTATGACTACTAAGATCTTTGTTGCTTCCAAATAATATTAAAAGCCACATTTCAAAAATTT